TTAAAGCGACCGCCATTTGGCTATCGTTAATGAGATCATGAAACAAATGCACATACATATTTGTGACATGATGTACCTTGTGTGTGTGAAGTTTGAACTCCATCAATCCAGGCATGTCTCAGATACGGATCCAGAACTGAATTCTTTAAAACAAAATGGCCGCCAGTCGGCCATTTCAAACCCGATCTAAAAAAAAAACATGTTGTGCATCAAGGTCCTATTATGTATGTACCAAATTTGAACAAAATCCGTCCATGCATAACTGAGATCCAGGTCCGGAATGGTGAAAATGTGCGATTTTGATGCATTTTCGGCCTTAAAGCGGCAGCTATTCGGCTATCGTTAATCGGATCATGAAAAAAATGCATGTGCATATGTCCCATATAATGTGTGATGTATGAGTGAAGTTTGAACTTAATCGGTCCATGCATGTTCGAGATACAGGTGATCACGGACGCATGGACGCACACAGGACAAAACATAAGTCCCTGTTTTCGGACTACGTTCGAACGGGGACTAAAAAGTTAAAGGGCACCCTCTATTGATGACATTTAACATAATGAGAAAATCACAGCAAATGTTGAAAAAAGGAAAAAATACATATAAAAATGATAGAATTCCTCATTTAAAATAAAGTTTCGAGCATACTCTTTCACTTGCAAAGCAAAAGTCTTAACCACTACACTATGAAGTTCCCCAATAGACACTTTGTCTATTGCGGTAGATCAACTCAAATTCGATACCTACAGATTAACCATAAATATAAGTTTGATAGCGATTTATTGTGTCCACAAAAAAAGTTTATGACGATGACGCAAATGACACCAAACGACAGATATTTTGACACTACTATAACTTTCCCTTTACTTACTTACTGGTAAACTAAAAATCAATATATTAGAGAAGAATCGATGATCAAAATAAAAACAAATGCTAAATGATTGTATTTGAGAGCCAGATGCGACAAAATGGACACATGTATGATTCAGTAGAAATCTAAGGGTCAATGGGCCCTCCTTTACAAAGTCTGAAATCAAGGTAAACTGCGAGTATACAGTCTTCATGTTCCCTAGTCTAGGGGTCCTCAGTTACAAAGCGAAAAGTGAAGGTACTGGTAAACTTCTGGTACACTTTCTCAATGTTCCCTAGTCTAGGGGTCCTCGGTTACAATATGTAAAATGATGGTAAACGCCTGGTATACTCTTTCTATGTTCCCTCGGTCTAAGTGTAAAATGGATGTAAACATACCTTTCTGTAGGGATGACCACTTTAACAAGAGCAATGCACAAAGTCTGAAAAGAACACAATATTTAAACTCAATTAGTAATCTGTGATGTGTGTAATCCTAGAATATATGTAAAGAGTGATAAAATAGTACAAATTGCAACCAAATTCCCTGCTTGAGAAAATTAATAAAATTGCAATATTCAGCAACCAATACATTGTTAGTCACCAACCAATACATTGTGTCAGCCAACCAATACATTGTTAGTCACCAACCAATACATTGTTAGTCACCAACCAATGCATTGTTAGTCACCAACCAATACATTGTTAGTCACCAACCAATACATTGTGTCAGCCAACCAATACATTGTTAGTCACCAACCAATGCATTGTTAGTCACCAACCAATACATTGTTAGTCACCAACCAATACATTGTTAGTCACCAAT